GACGCGTTTCAGAAAGGCGGGGCATAGAGGAGAAACAATAATGTACAGTATGTGGAAAATAATGTGTTTTTTGAACCTTAAACCACATAAACACATTTCATTACACCAAATACACAAAATAATGTTCTTTTTAGCAACATCATATGACCCCTTTAACATGTTTTTTTCTTAGAGAAATAATACCTCTCCTCAGTAATCCGTATAATATGAAGTAGTACTTTACTGAGTATAGTAGAAACGGTGCAGTTGGAAATCTTTATATATATAAAGACATATATGTGTGTGTGTGTGTGTGTGTGTATCTCTTTTACAACTCCTGTAACTGGTAGAAAAAGTACAACACAGCTTTTGCAATGAAAATAGCCTCAGCTGCCGACTTGAAATGTCTTACCTACATGGAAATCTTTCCCTTCTCATGCAAGTTATAACTGTCATCATCTGTGTGCACATTCACATTAGCATTTTCTTTTTGCATGGAAGATTAGATGCACATGGTCCACATTTCTTCAACGATATTGAACAAAGGCCTTTTGGTGGGTAAGCTTCGCATTTTCTTACTCCTCCTTTTATTGAATAGATCATCATTATCTCTGTCTGCCCTGCTGAAAGACAAAAAAAAAGTGAAAAGCAGCTTAAGCTGTTGACTGGTCTTCGCTGGTCTTCCATCCTAGTCAGAGCAGGTTTAGGTCTTAGAGTGGTTTTCACCAGCAGGGTGATCATAAAAACAGTGTTGACATTACTTATTTGTAAAGCTAGTGTTTCTGGGGACATGCTAGCATGCTAGATTGCTGAGAAAATCAGGCAAATGACCAAGATGGTCAGCGGTAACACTGTTACAATATGTTGATTGAACTGAAGATGGGGCAATTATTAAAAGATGACTGTGATTAAGAGCGCAAAAATACTGAACTAGCGTATATATGCCTTAAAAATACTTTAAAACAATCAGAGTACAAAATGTGTCGGTATTGTTTAAATGTAGGCCTAATATAATTTAGCAATTTGCAAATGTGTTACTGTGCCTGATAGTAAAAGAAATATTTGCAAAAGAGCTCTATGTTTTTAATAATTAATTATGTAAAAGAGGACCTATACATATGTAGATTTTTGACGTTTATTTTGTTAGTAGACAGATCAAATCGTTTAATAAGAGAGGGAAAAAAACACATTTATTCGGGTCAGACTGTGCAGTATGTTATTTATCTACACTATGTGTCCATATAGCACAAAAGGCTATGTGGCGAAATTTAATACTAAGGGCTTTGGGTTTGCAAATAATCATCCTAAATGTAACAAACAATAACAGTATTGGGTTGCTTTAGTAAGAGCAGCGTTACAAAGAAGTCCTAAAACAAATACCAACAGGCACCAATAGATGGCAGCAGTGTAATGTAATCGCAGTGTAAAATGCAAACATTAATTGTGAGCCAGGCACATGTCAAGCAGACCGTTTAATGAGCCAGCTAATCCCGTGATGGGCTGTTCTTCCTGCTGTTTACATAAAGGTACAAAAAAAAAATGCACAGAAAAAAAGTCTGCACAGTTCAAGACCAGAATGCAAAGGGCTTTCCTTGTCTCATGTAATCTCACACTCCATCAGTTAAATTAAAGCACACAGTAGACTTGGCCTTAATCATAGAGATGCTATAGCTTGATCTTTGTGGTCTTGGCCTAAAAACACCTGAGTGTCATTAACTGAGTGCACCATAAATTACCCCTTCAGAGACTCCCACTGTGCGCGCACGCTCATCTAATTCAACACTGATTTCTATTCCCGCGTCGTGCGTCAATCCTGACGTCATTAGAACGATGCGTGACCCCGGTAACGGGTTGAGAGAGCTGCTAAGTAGCGACTCGTTTTATCGACTCGAATCGGTTCAATACAACGAGTCGTTCACTCACCCCAGGTGCCGTCATGTTGTTCCAAACCTTCTGCTGAAAACAAAAGAAGATATTTTGAAGAATGTGTGAAACCAAACAGTTGCCCGTAGCCATTGACTTCCATAGAGTTTGTTTGTTTGTTTGTTTTTTCATACTTATATGGAAGTCAATGGCTACCAGCAACTGTTTGGAACAACGAGGATGAGTAACTGATGACAACATATCCATTTTTGGGTGAACTATCCCTTTAAGAAGAATTAATTAATTAATTAATTAATTAATGTATTTATTTATTTATTTCAATCAGACTTCATCCTGCTTTAAAGATCTGGAGCATTTAAAACTGCAGACAGCAGATCAGATCATTTTAGACCTCTTTATTAGCTATTGTTCTCGGTGTGAAGGGTCTTTAATGGTCATCGCTGACAAAGCCCAGCATTATAGGCAAATCGATGCCTGGTCACGTGACTGACGATCATGTTTTAAATGTCAAAAACGAATTAATTAATTAATTAATTAATGTATTTATTTATTTATTTCAATCAGACTTCATCCTGCTTTAAAGATCTGGAGCATTTAAAACTGCAGACAGCAGATCAGATCATTTTAGACCTCTTTATTAGCTATTGTTCTCGGTGTGAAGGGTCTTTAATGGTCGTCGCTGACAAAGCCCAGCATAGGCAAATCGATGCCTGGTCACGTGACTGACGATCATGTTTTAAATGTCAAAAACGCCGATGCCACGTATCTAGACCTATCTGCAAAAATAGGAGCATTCATTGTTTATCAATTTTGTATGTGACTTATCAAGATATTAATAATAACAATAATACAGTTAGTAGCCTAAATAAAAATCCATAATTTCCATTAACACTCTTGCGTCATTTTAATTGTGTATGGTCGTTGTTGTTGTTTTTTTTGCTCATAATTTTCCACTCCCTTTCTATTTATTTCCTTGATATGAATCAGACTGAACGACTCGCGCTGAGAGAGAGTCGAGAATGAGTCCGTGCACAGAAGACACGAGAACAGTTCGTTCATTTAAAGATTCATGCACAAATGAATCATTCACGAACGAACCCCAACTGCTGTGTGTGAACTATATCTGTCAAGCTCTGCGCTAATTAGCGACTGTCATCATTACCATAATCTGAGCAACATGCCTGAAAGGAGATGAAACATGCATTGACTTCTATATGCGTAATGCATTCGCCTTAAGCTTTTAAGTCCTGATCGGTGTAAGGATGCTACACGCTGTCAATAATCAGTGAAGTGTCTGAATGATCTCGTCTCCTCCCCTCAGATGCGCTGCGCATCATCCAGCGCCCGCGCTCCCTCACTTCAGCACTCGCGTCTCTCAAGAGCGCGTCTTAATTCCGTCCTTATCTATGGCAAGCCAAAGTATTCATATACGCCTGGTCGGGCGTCTGATTGCACACTGACCCGTCAAAAGCGTGCGATTTGGCAGCAAAACGCCCGTCTTCGACGTGTGATTTGCCATTAAACGCGCGTTCTTAACGTGCGCTTTGGGGTCACGGAAAAGCTCACCGGACGCGTCATTTAACGCCAGCGTCTCGGTCATTCAGTCTAGGCAGAGCGAGGCATACGGAGACAAGAGGAGGAAAGGAGAGGAGCACGGACGCTTCACGCAGACAGACGCGCGAGACAAGGTCGACGGTGCGTTACGAGCCGTTCTGCGACGCTCCAGGCGCGCGTGTTCTGCGCTCTCTCCACGCGTTGGATTCCAGGGGTCTTAAATCTGGAGGCGGGGACCCGGGGATGAGCCTGCTGTCGGGGGGCTTCGGCATGGCGGGCTGGGGGTCCGGTTGGGTTCTGATGCTGCTCGCGCTCTGGAGGCCCGGTGCCGCTTGTCCGGAGCTCTGCACGTGCACTGGCGTGCGGATCTCGTGCGTGGATGCGGAGCGCAGCATTATGGCTTTTCCCATGCTGCAGTCCGAGGCAGAGATGGAGAATATCACAGACATGTAAGTTATAAAGAAGAGGCCACAGAAGATGATGCATGTTGTGTCATTCAGTTAATTGCGTGCGTGCGTAATTTCTATGATTTATCCGGGTTTTATTGTACTTGAATTATTGTGCCAAAGTCATTTTATGAGTATACTGTATTATTACTCGGTTATATCTGCTGTTGACTGTTTTACACAAATGTTTTAAAACATAATATGAATCACTATGTCAGTTTGATTGACTTTAATTAGGTTAAGTGGTATTTTGAAATTAGTTGTTGTTTAAATCACACTAGAAGTGCATTTGTTTGAATTTAGGCCAGCAGAATGGGAATTTTTTTTATATTTCTACCTTTAAAAAATATTTAATTTATTAGAAATGATTTCGAGTTTTTACTACTCACCATAAATCAGTTAATGAATTAATTGAGTTAAAAGATTATTATTTATTTTTTTGGAATCTACCCTGCATGACTCGTTTAGCGAGATCTTGTTGTTCTTGTTGCTGTTTACAGATACATTGCGAATCAAAGCAGCTTCAAATCCATTAATGAAAAAGATCTCGACTCGTACCACAACCTCAGAAACTTGTGAGTATAAAATGTGCAACAGCTTTTA